ATAGGGAGCTTCTAATAGTGCATGATATAGTCTCATCTCAAATTGCTTTGTTATTAAACGTGTCACTTTTTAGTGGGACTTGGTATATTATCATGATTAATATTATTAATTAAAGAACAATCAACAATGTACGAGAAAATTAATAAATAAATACACCAATCCTCCTAATTAATTCAAAAAAAAAAAAAAAAATAGGAGACCTAGTAGATAATACTAGTAGAATCTTGAAATTGCAGAATCCGTATAGTTTTGGCGGGATTAATGAGCATGCCCCGACCAACATACTCCAATTTCAACACCCAACTCAAAATTTAAATATTGTCTATATATGTCATATATATATATATATATATATATATATATATATATATATATATATATATATATATATATATATATATATAATAATAATGATGTTGCTGCGGCTGGTGAAGATTTTAGGGCACATAGCCTCGTACATTGTAATATATTATCTCCTAGCCTTTGGGATTTGGCATCATCTCATATTTTTGTCCATATCAATAAGCCGAAATTCCTTTTATCCCGTCGCATGTTTTGCTAGCTGCATTTTCAAGATACGATTAGTCAAAGTAAGATTATGTCATTCTGTAATAATTCGACCGTGCAAAACAAAATAAAACGATGACATATCGGAAAAACAAAAATTCTTTTCGGGTTCCAGTGTTACCTTAATGTTGATTATTATTTTTAGAATGATAATTACTATTATTATTAATTATTTAAAAAAAAAAAGGTATGAACTAACTAAAGGCGTGCAAGCAAAGCATGAATATGGGCACTAGGAATAGTAAGTACAAATTTCACTATCTCAAAAAAGTGCTGAATAGTGGACAGACAAAAACACAGGCCCAAAGCAATTAAGGCTAATTTAGGTATTTCCCAAATTGCTCCATTTATTTAGGGGGGCAATTAACTTATTAGTTCCTTCATTCCAGACAACATTATTTTATCACTTTGGGAACTATAGTTTACTAAATTTTATAATTAACCCATAAAAAAAATTAATGAATATTTGTAATTTGTAATTAGTGGAGGAATTAGTAAAAAAGAGGCACGTGGCATGGGACAGCGTGCTTGGAGAAGTGGTAATGGGGAAGAAGAGAAATGTTTCCTATGAACAGAGCAGAGTTGTCCATTTACAGATGGGGATTAGGGCACAAGTGTGACACCCACCCATTCCCCACATGTTTTATTTATTTTTTAATTTCACAAATTAATTTTATTTTTATTATATATACATTTTTTTTTTAATTTGCACACTGCTCTATGGTGCACACATCTGTATCTTTAAATTTTGCCCATATTGTATTTATTTTTATATATTATTGTAGGAAAATAATGATAATAATATAATTAACCAGGATGCAAATATTATATTAAAATAAAAATATTAAAAAATTAAACCCCATGTCACCTTGTCCATTTTAAGCATTTACAGTACAAGATGATGAAAAGGTACTAATCTTTAGAAGTTGCAGTCCATAAAGTGCTAATAATCTATATAGGAAACAAAGTTTTATTACAATCCCAATGCTCATCTTTGACCAATAAATAATTGAAACCATTCATTTCAAAAAATTACAAAATTAAATAAAACGGAAGCAAAAAACAAATTCCGATTTCGTGCAAAAAAAAAAATAAATTGAGAACAATTGAAATTGCAGTTTGGACCGGAGTTGCGGAATTTAAAAATTCCATTTTCATTCACTTATAGTATAAAATACATAATTTGACGGTACGGGCCGTCTTTTAGCTCGCTGCTGATTCTTTAAGGTTGATTGAGCTTTTATTCATATATACCTTTCCTTTTTGGCATGATCATTTTTACTATGTATCTTGACCTAACTTTTATTAGTATGAACGATCAAGCCTGTATCAATCCATATAAGATTTAAGTTTGGTTTTATAAGATTTACGAGTTTGTTAAAATAAATATTATAATTAATAAGTTCACTAATCTTTATACTATAGAACACATTAATAATTTAATAGTTTTGGGACACTATGAATTTTTTTTAATAGCTATGGCTAATCGCCTAAGCCTAAAAAAAAGTTGAATGTTAAGAGGTTATACCTATGGCATTATAAATCCTTATCTTGTGGTATATACATATATATAAGTATTAACTACTAATTAACCACTAATTATGCCTCAATGAAAGCAACTTTATAGGCTATTAATAATAAACATTCAATAAGAATGATCATACTTATTACCAAATAACCACACACAAATTGCATTGTCCACAAATTATGATACCACGTCACCATTCTTGATGGGTGCAATACTCACGTTTTAAAAAAGGGATTATTTGGCCTAATTACAATCATGACTTAATTAAATTAAATAAAGTTTGGCAAACCAATAGTTATTTAAAACAATTATCATTCGCACTAATCACATCTAAATTCTGAAATATATAAATTTTGTATTAAATATTACTCAATTAATTAATGAAGTGGGCTGGACTGTACACACACGTGCCAGACACGCGGGGGAAGCCTTGCAGCTATTTTATCTCGCACGTGCGAATGCCGTTATAAATAAAACAACCCCGAATGTTTGGGTCAAGCAAAAAGGAGTCCCATTTGATTCTCGGATTCTTTCATACTACCAAATTCTCTCTCTCTCTCTCGATAAATACACACACATATATATAAAATGCTGTGTGTATAGCAACAATATGTATACATAGTTGCTGGATTGTGTGTATACAAGGGAGGCTGTAGAAGCTAGATTCATTTTTTTTTTCAATTAAAAGTTGTCAAAAACATCGAAAAAAGGCCGATTTCAAAAAAAAAATAAAAAAAAAATGGAGAGAGATTGTGAAGTAAAATCGTCAAAATTCAAAAGGATTTGTGTGTTTTGTGGAAGCAGCCAAGGCAAGAAGACTAGCTATCAGGAAGCCGCTACTGAACTCGGCAAAGTTTTGGTACTACATTAATTTTTTATTTCCCCTTTGTTTTTTTTTTTTTTAATTTAATCGCGTGGGTGGTGTGTTGATTGATAAATTAATGGTCGAGTCGAATCTCTGTTTTTAATTTTTTTTTTTAAATTTGTTTAATAGGTTTTTGCTATAAATTGTTCGCCCTACTCTGTTTTCCCCAATTTTGTATTATGAATTTGTTTGTTTGTTTGTTTGATAGCTTAAACCATTGTGTATTCTCATGCAAAATGTACTGTTGTTCAAATATATTGAATCTCCATTTATGTACTGTTTTTTTTTTTTCTCCATTTATGTACTGTTTGTGAAGATTGCAGAACTCAAAATGAATGGAGCCTTTAATCTACGAAATAGGAACAGAATTAACTCCTTATTTTAGTGCCCACATCATGTGATGTTGCTTTCATTACAGGCCACTCACTCTCTCTTTTTCAAATATTATTATTTTTTTTTCTCCAATTGAATTTAATTTTACTCTGAAAATTGGAACTATAAATAAATCTAAATTATTTGGTTGATGTGTTTTTGAAGGTTTCAAGGAACATTGATTTGGTGTATGGAGGTGGCAGCATAGGCCTAATGGGCTTGGTTTCTCAAGCTGTTCATGATGGTGGCCGCCATGTTATGGGGTTAATACTTGATTTTTTTTTTTTGGCTAATTAAATTTATTTAAGCCTGTTGTAATCACCAATTATTGTTTAATTAAATCACTAAAAAACTGATTTGTTTTTTGTCATGTATTGTCTCTCTAC